GAGATGTATAGAGAACAGTATGGAGAATATGTATACCGATGCTGGGATCTAAAGGGCTCATATAATAATACTTAATTGAATTATTTACTCTTTCTTTTCATGAAGCCACCAGAGGCAGAACAGAGGAAGGCAGCTGGAAGTATCGAGCCAATAGTCTTCTTCTCTGACGATAACGAGTTTCAATTTAAACAAGAAAACTAGAAATATATATGTATATAGTGAGAAAAATGATTTCAACTGTCATTCAGGTTTGTTACAGGGGGCAGAAATTACTACTTTTGGTGTAAACAGTGCACACCCCAACTTAAATAATGAAAGAGTACAGGCCTGAAGTATTGTGATAATCAGTAACTGAGACTTAATTTAATGTAAGTGTCACGGCTGACTCAGAATCTGAGTACCACGCGTGGCTGAAGGAGACTGCATGCGCACTTATAGGAGGGAAGGGGATGGATGAGACTGAGGTGAAAATCCGATGAAATGTAACATCGGGATGATTGATCTTGAGGTTAACATTAGTTGGGTTGAAAAGGGAACACAGGTACAGCTCCATCATGAACGAGAATGAAAGATTTGTGTGTTGAAAAAAAAAGCATTTTCATTAGCGTTGCATCTACCCCCCAACACAGTTTCAGAAAGTTTATGAAAGGCTGTGGAAAAATATTTCGAATAATTATCCTACAAAACAACAATCATTAGGACTAGTTCATTTGATCAGATTTGCCAAAGCTGACAGAACATGAGAGCATTTGAATTTTTCTAATGAACTAACAAACTTACAGTCATACTAGCAATATTAACAACTATTCACCACTTTCACAGACGCTAAGGTGAATAATTGTTTTATTATATACCACACAGATACCAAAAACTCGGTTTATTTCTTTCACTATACCGAAAAATCGTCAGAAATTAAACTCTTGACGGGCGACTCGGTCTCATCACCTGCTGGGAGGTGAGTAGTACTTGCTATTCACTTCCGAACTAGCCAATTAGTGGTATATACTAAAATAGCTCTCTTTTTATTTCGATATATATATATATATATATTGTACAAGGACGTGGAAGATGTGTACTTAAAAAATGCGAATGACAAGCTCTTCGTCAATCACTCAGATGATGAATTCGTTAAGGTTGTCGAAATGTCAGTCATTACAAAAAAAAAAGCGCTGTAAACAACAACAGCCCATTCTCAGAACAACTCTCACCCAGACTGCACGATCAACAATTACTCCTGGGTTTAACCCATTTACAATTCGGCTGACCATCTATACTAATTCACCGAAAAAGGAGCTATTCAAAGTGGTGAGCTTGAAAAAGCCGGCTTTCCATTTCGGTGTGGACATAAAACATTTAGAAAAAGGAACTTTTGGGAAACAATGATGTCACTACTCATTGGATGCTTTGGTCATTCTCGTTTCCTGTCGTCCCCGTTTCTTTTGCCCACGTTATCGGGGAGACGGTCAGTGGAAACGTGTGGCTCGGTGGACGAAAAATAGTGGAATGAGCATGTCCGAGAATGTAGTCAAGCGTTTCGACGGTCGATGACTTGTGACGTGGACGGGAAAAATTTCCTTCGTCTCCAATACAGATGGGAAACTTAACACGAGTTTAAAAAGTGAAAGGCTTAATTTTTGGTCTTCGATTTAGGGTTTTTTTAAATTTTTATTTTAAAGTTCGTGCTATGCAGTGTTAACGGGAGTATGTATGTTGAAAGGAACGTGTTATGTTAAGTTGAACCAAGGGAATTGTCCCCGTTCAGTGTCAATAGTTAATATGTACACGTAAATTGCAAACTATTTATCCAACTAATTTATAAGCGGGCAACTCTGGGAAATGAAAGTCTGCGGGAAAGGCATACACCCAGGGATAGTTTATATAAATCATTACAAATGATTATTCTGATACATAGATAAAATTCAGTATTAAATTTAGATTTGTTTGATAAACCTTTCGAAAAGTATTAACTTTTTTTTCAACCAACATAAACATGGCAATATCATGACAGAGATTACGTTTCAGGAGGTTAGTGAACTCGAGGATTTGTACAATCTTGTTTAAGGCTGGGAATTCGTTGGCGGTCGTTGGCGGTCATTGTCTTAGGTGGGAATCATAGGTATATTTTTCGTACAAAAGTACTTGTGTTCAATCATAAATGTGGCAATATTATAAGCTGCGCTACTCGCTTACTATTTGGCAAATACATTGAGCGTTACTTTGCGTCTGTTTAGTAATTAAAGTTGACGCCAAATGTGGAAACAAAATGTAGAGACAAAAAATATTTGTTGTATGAAATGGTGGCAAAATCAGCAACTTACTTCAACCTTAAGGCTGCTCGATTAAACATTTTTCATTGCATAACTTGGTAGATTTTGAAGTAAAAAACTTTGTCACGTACAACAATAAATAAAAAGGAGAAGAGAAATGGTACGGATAATGATATCTTGTACTCGCAATTCAGGCTCACTAGATCTTATATCCCCTGGAAAAGCGCACCTGTCTTTCGAGAATTCCGTAACGTGATTCATAGCAGCGTTAAAGCTCTTTAATTTTTCATTCACCCTCCTACACAATCTCACTTTAAAATCCTTACATATTTAATAAGTGCGATGTGGAGGCGTTGATTTTACTGTGTTACTAAGATTCTGCTCACAGTCGTAAACACGTGCATGGCGATCACTTGACTTGACTTGTAGTCAGTGTAAATAGTTTTTCTCGGAAATAAATCAAAAGAGCAACGTCGTACCATACATGTAGTTTCAACCTTTAACCATCTACACCCGAAGAGTGAATAGCATCAAATTTCTCCCCACAATATCACCCCTGAATCACACGTTATGGTCATGAGAATAAAGGAAATGATCACCAACGAAATAAGCTTTTGATTGGTAAACAAATTCTCCTGGTCAGCACCTTAGGAAATGTATTAAGAGCAGTATGGAGAATATGCATACTGATTTTAGGGCGTAAAGGGTTAAAGAGCGAGGTGGAACCGCTGGGGATGGTTGGCTGAAATGTAACACCTTTGTTGTCAGCCGGTTCAAACGACATTGTATTAGTAATTTTGATCGTCAAAAAAAAAAAAAAAAATGGTTCAATCGCGCGTAACAATGTTGCAGTACAAATGTGGATGATGTTCGAGAAAGTCAAAGCAAAACTTTCGAATCAACTGGAATGGTAAAAAAATACTCAACAAATATTTTGTAAGGTCTCTAAAAAATAGAGCAAACTAGATTTCTCTATTTATTCCCCAGTCGTTAAAAGTTCTTGACTTGCACGGAATTGGCTTGAGGCCATTCTTGTGTACTCGGCGCTCTGAAAGAGCTACGCAAATTTGACAATAAAGTGGATATTTCGGAAACCAAAAGTTTCCAATAACAGTGTCAGTGATATTTCCAAAACCTCTCCATTTCCACTCTAAGAATTTGTTGTATTCTGCCTCAGTGTTACCAAGGTATTTTAGATACTCCGCCAGTTGCTGTGGACTTTTGAAATCACGAACTCTTATGACGGAGCGTTTGAGATTTCCTGGCAGGAACTCGTCAAGTTTGTCTGTGCTCATTACCACGGGAACTGAGCCTGCATTCAGAGCATGACTTAGTTGTGCGTCCACGAAGTAATCACAATCCTGATTGAAAAACACTAAAGAGAACTTGTATCTTCTGGCAAGGTCAGTTTTGACTTCTCGGAATTCTTTCCCGTTCTCTGAACCATATCTGTTGACTAGACCTTGTTTGTTCCTTAGACAGGCTCCATACGAGTCAACCTGCACAAACTTCATCAACTGTCTCATGTATTCCGTCCGCACGGGTTCACAGTTGGAAAATACGGCTAGAATGAGTCCATCTTTGTCCTTAAAGGGAACTGGTGGTGTCACATTTGGCTTTGTAAAAGTTGGATCGGGGAAGTCCGAGTCCAGGCGATAACTTTGCAACAGATTAAATTTTGACATAAAATTGGGATTGGTTAGAGAGGGAGTGTACACAGGGTTTTCTTGTGTTTGAAGGATCCACGGTACGGATTTATTTGGAGGTATCATGTGCGAATCTCGCGCATGGACTACAAAGGCGTCTGCCTCATTCGCTCGTGAATGATCACTTGACACCTCGCAGGCCACAGGGCAGTCTCCCTGCTTCCAAGAAAGATGTAAATCTAGCTTAACTTGAAAATATGTCGACCAGTAAACGATGAGCCATTGCAGTTTTTTGTGGTGAATTGTGTAAGAACGATTTTCGTTGGTCTTTAGATTCGAGTCCATGAGCGCAGATATTTCCCGCTTGGCAGTCTCTTTCGTTGATCTTATGGAGTTGATATACACAACCAGCGAACTACCTTTTGGGCCGAAGAAATTTGTTTCAAATTTCCATAATAGCACCGTTAAGATAAAAAGGAAAAGTAGAAACGTTAAAGCAAAAGATTTCCCTGCCATTTTAAACCATGTTTGAGTCGACAGTCTCCTTTGTTATTGTTCTTGTACCCCTGTTGGTCAAAACATGAATGTACTGGGGTCAGTGAAGAACTACATAATGTTTTCTATCAAATATATTAGGGCAAGAGACTGATTAGAAGTCTCAACTAAACTATTAGGACGCAGGAAAATACCATAAACACAAATTAGATTTTCACCAGCTTTCATACAAAGAGATGAAGACTATCCAAGGCGGTGAATGAAGCACCTGCACATATAATATCGGTAATTGTGTAGTCATCAGGTGAATGAAATTATCTTTGTTCACCTTTTTAGCTACCATATCGCGAAAAGCCAACAAGAAAGCCTGTGTAAAGTCACCATTCCTTTCCTTACAAAAGCAGCACAACAAGGACTGATGTTTAAACGTTAGCGTGGCCTTAACTTCGGTAAATAAGCAATTGTTTTGTCGAAGTTTCGAGTAAGTACCCGTTGTCAGAAACATCGTAGGTGCAGCTATTTTTGGCATCAGAAGCACTAGACTTTCTTCATTGTCTTGCTTGATATTCTTTAAAACCATGAATAAAATAATGAGATGTGTATCGTTCCTATTTTCTTCGGATTTTCCCCCTTACCTTGCTGGGAGCTATTTATGTCATCGTAGCTCGAGAGTTTATGTGATTACGGCCACTATTATCCCATTAATTATAAAGAATACTTGTAACATTTGACGTCCTCAATTGTTTCGAACAAATCTGTAAGAAATTGAAAATATCTTTACAGAATGCTTGGATATTTCTGATCCTCTTCCAAATAAAACAAAATACAGTAAGACGCTGTCAAAGGTCAGGTAGTCTTTTGTAATTTTTGCTTTTGGTTAAGATATATTGCCTTTGTAATTTCCTTTTTTTTTTTTTCGGTTAAGTTGTATCGCTGATTTAGTGACAGAAACGTAGCGAAAAAGTACGTGATGCGATTTTCCCCGCAACCCTAATGTAGTGCAACAATTTTCTTTCTATAGAAAAGTTCATCGCATTGGTACGTACGAAAATAAGAGCTGAGTAGTTAGAACAGTTTTGTCTCTGACTCTGATTTTTAAACAGGGATACTGACGTCTCGTATGTTTCGGATTCTACTATTCGCCTTTTTTTCAAAACGAAATCAAAATAACATGAATTTACTTCATCATGGAGGATTAACCCTCTAGAAAAGAATCATAGGACTTATCCTAGGGGTAGTCCTAGTCGTTATTAAATTATTTTAGACTTTCACTTTACGTCGACTCAGCATAAATTGGACAATCCAAACGATAACACCTTACATAAATACATCCAGCAAAACCAAATCTCGAGGTTAATCAAAATTAGCTTTCACATCAATTGTAAATACCCTCTCTATATAGAGCAGAAAAACGCTGTGAAAGGCAGTAGGTACTGACAGAAATTAAACTTTCAGTATCATATATAGTGTTCTCGGAATTTTCTTAACTTGATGATAAAGAAAGAAAATTGAAACTCAACTCACCACGATTAACACAGGACCAGTAAGAATCGATAAAAGATACATGTGTCGTGAACACTCGCCTAAATGCGCACGTAAAGCGGAGAATAACATGATATTGCGAGACCATCAGGAACCAATCTATCTTCCGTGCAAGGTTGAGACAATTCACACAAATGTTCTTGACGCGAAATCTTAATTTAGACTATAGAAACTTATTTTTAACTTTATCCGAACAAAGCTATTTACGGCAGGACTGTAAATTCCTAAAATCCACTACTCGTTAAATCAAGTTTCGTGCACTCATCTTCATCTATGTAACACAGGAATTGAACTTTTCGACTCGTATATGCGAAAAAAAAAATCATTAAAATGAAACTGAATGATTTGCAAAATTTTGTTTCCAGAGCACCATAGAAATAGGCTAACGCCCACAAGGAGAAGTAGTCCGGGAACGAGACTAGGGAATACATTATGACTTCCGATGAAAAGCCTCCGTAAAATAACCGAAGGTCGTTCGGGTATACCAGAATCTTGTATACCCTCAGATCGTTTAATTGTGACAGTTGTTGTCGAAACAAAAGTTCGACGGAAAATATGGCAGTTCATCGATCAAATATCACGTCACGCATGTGACGCAAGTTTCTAATAAGTTATAAACAACGTACTTGGAAACTTTCCAGGTATTACTTCGCTGGCGAAGAACAGCTAGACTGCATTATAATAATCTTGTCGTTGTGAGCAGTGAGAGATGTGTTTTAATTCTCGCCGTGAGTTTCGGAAAGCAGCTTGATTCTTTTGTTCTTTCCAAGCACAGTCAATGCCACACAAAAGGACATGACCCAGGAAATGTTATCGATTATTGAGATTAAATTACTAATGGCAGGATAATGGGCTCCGGCCAGTAATGGGCTCCTGCTAGTGACCATAATGAAAGATCAAGGGGAGAAATTTTAAATCGCACTTAGAATAGCCGCAATGACCATGGGACGACCTTGGACTAGATGAAGGCTTAGACGAGGAGCCGGAGAATAGTTACTCTAAAGAGGTTTTGCAAATGTTTCAGATAGAAATCATTCATTTTGGACATTTCATACTTACCAGAAGAAGGAATGTTGTTTAGATCCCTGGTCTTCCAAGGCAGGCGACCGTAGTTTTCGCAAGTTCGCTAAGATAGTCAAGCAAACCATAAGGAATCATTCTTACTTCCCAGGAAATTTCATGTTTAATCAACAACCCAAAACCACAAATCATACTTTTGTTACAGGACCGCGCGCCTTGGGTGGTCCCAAAGGTGCGAATAACCTATTGTTGAAGAGTTTTACTAGCATTCCTGACGCTTCCCAACTCAAATCTTCTTCCCCTTTTCGCTCCGGTTCCACTATTGCGCCGTTCGTTTATTTCGCGTCGTTTTACTGATTCCACGCCTCGAACAGATTTCCAATGAATCACAATAAAATCACATTTCATTTTTTTTTTAATTGAATTACTAACAAAGCCCCATGGGTTACCTCACTAAATAACACTTTAATGGATAACGTGTAATCAGTTCCAAGGTTAACTATTTTTGGAATTGTAAGTCATGATCATAGTCGGCTCAAAGGTCAATCATGAACCCACAGAGGACACACCCCAACACAATATGCATATTCTCCACCCTTTCCTCTATACATTTCTAAGGTGCTGACAAGGAGAATTTGTTCAACAATCAAGAGCTTGTGTGATTCAAAGGAGAAATTAAACGCTAGTTGGGTCTTGTTACTCTCGACCTATCGACGAGACTTAACCAATGTTCATAACAGCTTTTTGACGGTTTCAATATCTTACGGATATTAGCCTGAATCCGGCTTTCACTTTCGGGTCAATCCTTCTTATTCCTCTCCATCATAAGTCACTCAAGATCGTTCTTGGTATATCATTTGAACTTTGGACTTTCCTCATAATGCTGTATTGTCAAACTAGTTACAAATTAGAATTTGAAAACGAGATTTGCATCGCGGTGATAGTTGATGGGGGCGAAATCCAATATCACGCACAAGTTTCGAAGCCCAATAAGCTTCTTGTAATTTTGGTATAAATCAGTTAGTCTTTCAAAAGTAGCAATAAGACAGGTTCATGTTTTAATATCATTTTGTTAAAAACTGAGCTATTACGGGTTTCTCGCTTTACTAACAATCTATCACGCAATAGATCGCGCGTTGTGTTGCCTATCAGACTGCAATCTCTGCAATTGATAGAACGCTTTAAGATTTTATACTGACATATTTTAGTCTCCGTCGGATTGAAGACAAATTTAAATACAGCATCAAAAACGAATCGCTGTATGATGATTTTGAAGAATATCACCGGCCGTAAGGCCTTGAGTTCACTTTCTTTTTTATATACGAACGTCTAATTTGGGGGCCGGGGCTGAGGCTAAACATTCTTATTTTTTTATTTATTCATTTTGTTTGCAATTTTAGCCTGATAACGCTCCTAGTAAGTTCTTAAGGTTGTGTGGTACGGTATTTCAATAGATTTAAGTTAAAAAATGTTCACAAGTATTTGAGTTAATTGTCCTGTTAGACCACAGCTTCACATTTCTTTTACCTTCAATTATAATTTTCAAACAAAAAAAAAAACAAACAAACAAACAAAAAGCAACAGAAAGAAAAAAAAAAAGAAATAAGCAAACTGAAGACGCTCTTAAATAACTCTCAACCTGAGTACGTTCTTGGCATGTTTGTGAAGTTTTGGTTAATCTCAGCCTGAATGTTTTTATTTAAAAAGGTTCTAATAAAATAAACGAGTGTAATCGACTTTATTTTCATCACATTTTTGTCTCTCTTGAGATAAGACTTTCACATCTAGGAACGTCAACTTCACAAGCAAAAATAAACTTTTCCAATCTGGCCTCCCGCCGTTATTTTTTATGCCATCCCGCAATCCCGCTAGAATGAAAATGTCATCTCGATCCCGCCCGGTTAAACTCAAGTTGCTCCAGTTCATCGCCAACTGACGGACAAATTGGAGCCTTTACAATATTGATAATGAACTCTCGTTTTCAGAAAAGCACAACTGCTTAATGCATATAGCTAGCATAAAAAACAGTTGTTTCTCGGTGTGTTTGAATGAGACAAAAATTCCATCCACCGAAGGATCAACAAAAAAAAACTATCCTGTTACATAGATAAAATTCTTCGGCCAACAACAGAAATTATATCTCAAAGATACAACAGACTTCATCAACTTTATAGAAAAAACAAAACTTCCGAAAGAGGTGATATTCGTTTCAATGACCGAAAGACGTGACACTGATATCTTTCTGAACATTCCTCCTGATAACTAGCCGCTCAATCCATGAAAACTTTTGATTTTTATAATTTCCTCAAATCATTCACCAAACATAAGCGGGTATGATTTGTCGAGTCAAGCCGTAACTAACCCCATCTTGATATTCGACAGTTACACTATCGATCCAGATCATGTGTTGCCATTTATTTTGCCTTTTGAAACGAATTAAACTCTTAGAGGCAGGAGATCTAGCAAGCTCTATTGAGCTTTTGGAAAGATCCCCGCAATAGTATTTATTTAGTCATTACAGAAAACGTACATACTTAGTTCTACATGAGAGAGTAAAAGGTTTATATTATTTTGTTCTACGTCAATAATAACAGGGACTGGCAAACTGAATACGGTTTCGAAGTTTCATCTATAATGACAGGCCTATCATGAACATCCTCGTGTACATTATATGGTAGGCTCTCGAAATATAATTTTTGCAACCTCTTGAACAAATGAAGAGAAAATGTTTCTAATATCACTCGGCAAATTGTTCCATGAGATGCTCCTCTCTATCAAATTAAAAAAATTCCCATAATCAGTTCTAGTATGTACAATATGCATTGTTAATGTTGGTATGCGTTTTTGTCATTTGGTAGATTGTTGTGGTGATATGAATACATGAAACTTGCTATCAGATATGTGTTGAGCTGATATATAGTTATTTCCTCAATTCTTCCGTGCGATTCGAACTGATTTAACTTCAATCCAACCATACCAAGTTACAGTTTTGAATATGTTCCTATGCTGGAGGTGTAGATATGTATCTAAAAAACAATATACGATGCAAAGTCATTGAAAAACCTCTGAAGTGGATCCTTCGCAAGTTGTAGTCACCGATAAACCATTTGCACGTTATTACATGGCCATCAGACTTTTGCCAGTGGGTTTTTTTAGCCATATATTTGAGTAGTCGTGGTCAGGCGGTGCACGTACTCTGATTGAGTTGCTTTATAGTCGAAATAAAAAAAAAGTGAGTTATTTGCATCGTGTCGCGTTCGAGTGAACAACTTTGGTGGTAGCGAGGTAATCCTAGAGCGACTACGTCACGTTGTCTTGACAGTGAAAAATGTGTTCTAAACAATCACGCACTTCATTCAAAATGGCTATACCGTCAATCGCGTCCCTGCTATCGTTCTTCTCAGATGAAAATAAATTTATCAAAAAAGAAGAAAATCACTACAAATCTGATCATTTGGAGTCTTTTAAGTAACAACAAAGGAATTTTACACGGAGAAGTGCATGCAAGTCTGGAAAAAAGGGCTTATAAAGTCACGGTAAGCACAAGCAATTTAAGTACAATATTGGACTGTCTAATTGGACTGTCTAATTTCGAACGACGGCCGATGCATCACCTTGCAACTAAAACTTTTTCCTCCTAAAAAGCGTATTTTCCATTTGAATTATCTTTCATTACGCACTAAACTGCAGATTTACTCGGACGATTAGCAAGAAATAAAAAAAAAACTGAGCGCGAATGGCCGAGAGAGGCGTTTAACCCTTTAACTCCCATGAGTGACTAAGAGAGAATTTCTCCATACAATATCAATACAATTTCAACCAGATAAGTGATGAGAATAAAGAAAAATATAAATTTGGAGACAATTAGTTGATCCGATACTAAATTCTCTGAACTAACTTTACAAGATGTGTATGGTCGACAGTAAGGAGAATTACAAATTTGATGTAGGAGTTAGAGGGTTAAGTGCAGTCACGCGACCGCCCTTTTCATTCACGGGACCACCCTCTGAGCCGTACAGACGTGGAATGTCGTTGGAAGAAAAGAAAGCCCAACCAATTGCTTTCAAATCAGGTGGTCTGTCAATTATTTCCTCTGCCCAAGAGTTACTATGCTTGGTCAAGGAAGCCAACACACGTCAATCGAGCTGCTCTGTATGAGGATTTGAAAAAAGCCCCTAGCCTCCTAAAGTCAGCATACTATTGAGGAAATTCTTCTCTCTGAGGAATTTCTTTGAGCTAGAGGAAACCAACAACAGCTGGACTGTTTGGTTCACAGAACTAAATTAGATGAAGATGGCATTGTTGATCATGAGACTGGAAGTGAATTGACCATACACAGAAAGAAACCTCTCACTTGAAGAGGCTGTTAGGTCAATAGCACTTTGCCTTGAGAGTAGTGAGAGTGGGCTGGGCTATGTACTTAAAAAAGACTATGTCTATTGGCACCAAGTACTGGGGGAGATATACTTGCATAGAAACTTCTGTTTTTTGGTTGTATGGACCACAAAAGATGTTGCCATTTTAAAAATTGAAAAAGATGAAGCATGGGCAGCAAACATCCCCTGCTTATGCAATTTTATTATAATCATTTATTTCCAAAAGTTGTGGAAGGGAAATTGTAATTTTCTTGCATGCTTCAAATATTTAGGTAACATTTCTTTTAACAAAGTTCAGACAAATGACTGAAAATTAGTTTTGGCCTTTCATTGATTTCCAAATTTTATAGCTGCTCTCATTGAGGATGATGACAAAGTATTTAATAAATAAAAGAAAGCCACATGCCATTGATTTAACAGGGTAATTTAGTAACAACGTAAATTGGCCACCATAAAGAGTTTATAGGCTGATGTTTGGAGGGTTAGCCCCTCATCAATCACTCTGACAAAGGGCTAATGCTTGAAACATCAGCCTTTAGACTCTTAACAGTGGCCAATTGGCAACATTAAATTACCCTGTTATACTCTCCCACTGATGCAGCACCACAGTTTCTTTATTCATTTGCTATTAATTTAGTTATGTTGAAAGGAAACAGTCTTATCTGGAGGATTTTTTGCCTCCTTACCTTAACTCTACGTAGTGTATGGGGAAGCAGTTGTGGTGGAAGTATAAATGTGTTTCAATGCCAGATATTCTTAACTTGAAATTTATCATCAATGTTATTTTTGACCTTAATGGGTAATATCACATTCAGTAATATAAAATGAACCAAACTATTCAAAAACCTTATCTTCACACCTCTCCATGACTAATGGAAATTGTAACCTAACAAGAGCAGCACTCAGCTTTAACAGAATATCAGAGTAACAACAAAGGTAGGAGGGGATGAAGGTTAAGATTCTGAAGTCTTTTAGCCATGCATGTACTCTTTCTACATGTATGTGGCACCTCGCCATTCCCTTTGTAGCTTTGGCCTCACTCTCTGTGAAAGCCCCTTTGTTTAGAAAAGGTGGGATTTTAACTGAAACTCCATGAGGCACAATGTCCTGAATAAGAAACCCTTTGTCCACTAGAATCATATCCCCGGGAGTTAAGTGATTGAGGAGGCCTGACTCCTGTATAATGGCTTTATTGGCAAATGAAACATGTATAACTTGCTTACATGGGTTATTTCAGCATTGGGTGCAACACCAATAATGACTTTGATTGAATTCATTCCTCTGTAAGAAGAGTGTGTTGCACTTTGCTGACTCATCAGCACAGGTGCTGCAAACTTGATATCAGTGCAGTCTATCACCATATGACAAGATCCAAATTGACAGAAAGAGGATAGTGCAGCTAGGTTGTTTCTTGTGTGGGAATAGATATCATTATGTCATGAAAGAAAATGCTATGCAATACATGAATGAAAGTTGTGATGATGTGGCGAATTGTAGCAACACTACAATTAAACAGTTGAATCAAGTGAAGGTCTGTGTCGTTTTTCCTGACCTTCATTAGGGCAATAAATATCTGGTCCTCAAAAATGACTGATTCAACCTTTCAGCCCCTGAAATAATTGATGGAATCTTTAAAGTTAGAGGCATGTCTTACAACAATTATGAAGACTTCCTTTGTTGGAAGGCCAGTTTCCATTATAATACCATTCTCAGGCAGTTCTGATACAGTGTAACACTTGCTCTTATATTTGACTCGTTCCTGGAGATCCTGAACACTTCTTTTGGCTAAGTCCAGTTCTGCGTCCAGGATAACCCCCTGTGATGTTTTTTTTCTTATTTACTTTTCCCTTTTGGAGAGATACTGGCTAACTTCTTTGAGCATCTTCCACTAACTCAGCACTAGTCTTCTCCTTAAGCATTTCTTCCTTTTCTTCTTAGGAGATCCCCTTTGCTCGGAAAATAATATTATTTGTCTTTGTTTCATTCAAATATCTCTGGGCCATTCGACTTTTTACCATCTCTAAAATGGCAGCCACACAGGGGACGTAGGAATTCACCGCCTCTAAAATTTCTGCTCACGCATGGTGAAAACAAATGTATGCTGTCACTGTAACAGTTCTATTCAGGCTCAATTCCGGTTCACAATACAGGGTAATGAAAATGAAAAAAAGAAACAAAAAAAAACCATAATACAGAGTACAAAAGCAATCATAAATCAACGATACACACCACATGCAACTGTTCGCATGCGACAATCGTAAATTTCCGCGAGATTGCGAGTGGATGAAAATAGAGCATCCGCTCAAAATTGCTGTATTTTACGTTGTTTTCAGAAAGAGAGATTTTAGATAAATACTGTCACTAACCTTATCGGAGGGATCCATCGTTTGTACTTGTCTTTTGCCTTTACAGCGCTTTGAAAAGGGAAGAACTTGCATGTATGGCTCTCCGTTGAATGGTTGTATGTCGGGGCACAGAAGTACACCATTTTAGCGCGTAAAGTGCTTTCTTTTTTAACAAAGGCGACCACGTTGAAGAAGTAATAGACCTTTTTACCCTCTCTAAGCCTTCGAAACTTCTCTTGTTGCAAAACACGGGGTCAATAAGGTCTTTTGAACGCATCACAATGGCTACGTGACCCACGCGCAAGAGGTAATCCGTGATACAATTAATGAATGGTCCCGAGGGAAACAGTTAGCTTTGTTTTCCCAAGAGTCCGGATGAATTTAAACAAAATAAAGAAAATAAACAAACAAGGACGGCAAAACTTCTTTATTCACAATCGTGAATAAAGAATCGTGAGCACGTGCTGAAGATCACGCAATTTTTTAAGTTAGACATGATTGATCACTTGATGTTGTCTAACAACTAAATACAGGAATGGCTCCGACCTGTGATTGGATGATAAAAATAGTAAAAGTTAATAAGTTATATCTTAACTCCTTACTCGTGAGTATTGTGAACCGCGTGTCTCGAAGCGGAACAATGAAATATCAATGTGAAAACACCGATGAGTCAAACAAGAAATGGCTACTTACATAATGAAGAGAAGGCAGAGTCCATCTTCTTCAGCGAGGTCGTTCAGCGATATTCCGGCGATGAAAAAGTCATCCGCTGACAAGCTCCGCTGACAGAACTCATTTAGTCAGTTTAGGCGGACGACCAATCATAGTGCTTGTTTTGTTGAGCGAAAGTCTATGTGCACAACTTGTTTAGATTGTAATAGGCCTTTTGCAGCAATCGGATTCACTGTCTGTTGCCGTTCCTTCGAAAGTTAAAAAGTGTTTGCGGGTCTATGCGACTCCTGTCACTCCTCCGAGACGAATTCGCTCACAGGAGGCACCTGACGAGATCCAGAAAGAATCGAAACTGCACCCTTGCGTAAGAATTCACACAGATGGCGGCAGTTACAATCACGGCCTGCATTGTGGCATGAAATTTTCATGGCCACAATATTCAATATATGAAAACATGTTCTGTCAAGTGTCACATGACACACATTTGTTGTTAGTGAAATCTCACATATATTTTATTTCATTTCGCCAAAAGCCAGTTTAATTTAGTTATCCCTCCTTTCTTTCAGAAACCGAAGCCAACTTTCACGAAAACGATTTAAATAATTGCCGCATTATATTTCGCGTTGAGCACAATTGATTGCAAATCGCGCAAAGATATATTTTTCGAGTGTCTGAGGTTTGCCAGTTTCAATACCTGACGTTTCGTGACACCCTTAACAAGGATAAATAATTATTCGGTTCTAAGTGGGAATTTTTTTTACCGAAGTCCAACTCGAATTCCAACTTTAACTCAATTGAATCTAACCTCTGGGGTTCGCTCTTCCTCGCATTTGACAAATAGTTCGCGCAGATCCTGACAGTTTTAATGCAATATATAAAGAATATCTAAAAAATTGACAAATTATAACCTTATGTACTCGTATGTATCCGAATATCACTCGTATGTAGCCGTATTTACTCGTATATCACTCGCATATGGTGGTGTGTACTTGTTTGTTACTCCTGGTACGGCAAATTGCACGTGATCGGTGGCGTGATCAGTTTCTAATATGTCAACAGCGGTAATAGCAACTGATCGATGCAGGCTGCAACAGATAGAAAAGCACATGTTTATAAACTTCAGAAGCTAAAGATAGAGAGGGAAAACTGAAGCAAACAACTGGATTAAGGAATCACTTCATTTTGCTGTTCAGAGGTAAGCTTCAACGCGATTTATTTGTGAGGCGTTTGTCGTAAACGTTGAGCTCGGCCGTCGAGCATTCATTTAGTCACGGACGTGGGATAAGGGAAAATCCTAAATCCTCGATCGCGAGCAATCGAAAACCAGACATTCGGCTCCCAGTCGCGTTCCGGAGCTTTGCCACAAAGCATCTATGTAGTTGTTTGGTAGTACGGAGCGACAGAGGAATTCGCAGCTGAGGTGCGCCCTTACACGGTTGACAAGCGAAAGGTGCTGAGTTTTCGAGAGTATTCGTCAAATAAGTGATTTTTCCCGTTTGCATTGCTTTCCACGAAGCCAATGTTTCTTTACGATACATTTTCAATTTCAGTCGCCATCCTCGCGAAGGGTCTATTGGCGTTAATGGATAGCACGACTAGGAAATAAACTTCAAATAAACATCGATGATTTACTAACTCGAGCCAACCGCTTTTCTAATCGGTGTCCTTGCGGATTTGGAGCTCCCTAGATTAGAATCCCCCGGTCCAAATCCGCTAGCGGATATGGACCCCCCAACAAAACTAAGCAAAAACATCATCCTTAACGTCCTAGTAGAAATTGAAAGTACTTTACTTTCCAGTCCACACTATGTTTAAATTCAAAACATGCGTAAGAATGTTATCCGGCTGTTTCTCAGCATCCGTCACAACTTTTTCTGAAGTCGCCTTTTTAGCGATCTAAAATATTGTAACGGTCGCTGTGTTGCATACGTCAAATAAATAAATAAAGAGCAAAGAAAAATGCAAATTGCGGCGCATTTTACCGCTTAATACACCTTTGTTCATCGAATTAAGCTTTATTGTGATTAGGCTACAGCTGTTAAACGTCAGCGCTTTTGGGAACACTGTTCTGGCTGAGGAAGTGTGCTTTCAATTAATTAGGACCAAATTGAACAACCACACAAGCCAGCAATTCATTTTTTTTTAAATCGTCTGAATTGTTTTTGATAAAAATGTCACCTGCATCAACCAAAACATTGTCTAAAACACGTCTAACGATCTTCTAGCTAAACAAGAATTTCCGGCCACTGCAAAAAATCTTGCCATTACTACTCCTAGAACTTCGCGTGTTTACTTTTTACCTCACATCCACAAACCTAACAACCCAGGGCGACCCATCGTCTCTGAATATTAAATCTCTTTATACTGTCATTTTTTTGATCAACTTTCTGCTAAGGAATCTAGCTCTGAAACACTACTCCGTCTAGCCGAACTAGTCCTAACACTCAATTTCTCTTCATTCGGTGGCAACCATTACAAGCAAAATAATGGTGTAGCCATAGACACCAGAATGGACCCAGCTACGCCAATCTTTTCGTTGGTTTTTTAACGAACTCTAATTTTTCCGTCAATACAACGGTCCCAAACCTGAATTCTACGATAGTTACATTGACAACATTTGTTATCCTGTGTGCATCAAATTTCCGTCTACATATGTTCTCAATTTTTGAGGCTACAATCCAAATCTTTGTTCGCCTGATCTTTGTTTACAGAGGTTTCTTCTGCTTGCAGTTGGAAACAAACCTCTCAGTCTCCTGCTTCGAACGCTGAATGCATTTTTTGTGATTGCAGGTTTTTGTTTAGTTTTGTTTTGTTTTGTTTTGTTTTTTGTTGTATTGTGTTTTTTTCTTTTTTTGTTACTGGGTGAAATTAAAGATTTGCGGCAGTGAATTCCACCAGTTCTATCTCCTGGGAAAACCTCAGGATTATTCCTTTCTGCAGAATTGTTCATTTAATTTTTACATAAGATAATTGAATTAAATCAATTAGCCAATGAATTTAGTTGTTCCTACGACTCGTGTTTCATATCGGATCGTAAACAATAGTCGTGTTAGCGTAGAACAAGGTCTTCTTCGATTTTTCAGCAAATGCAGGGTTTTTTTTATAAAAGTTTAGACGCTTAGTGTTTAATAGCCTTTTTGTAGTTCTCTTCACAGCCAAGCCTAGATTAAGCGTCTTTAGGCAAGGTCAACATCTTTGCAAAAATATTTCAAATTTGATTTACGTGTGCTATCAACAAGCGAGTTGTTTTCACTAATTTTGATTTTCAAGTTTGTTTTCTAACTAGCAGTTGAGAAGAACTGCTTTTGTTTTATTTGTCTAAAAGTATTTAACGATTTTAGTTCAGCACAAATTTGTCTGAAAATTATTTAGGTAACCGACGATGAGTACTTCAACTTCGAGCGTGATTAACTTTTATAGAGCAAAGTATACCCGGCGATTCTCAACAGAATACCCGCCGAAGCTTCGGCGGGTGCCGGGTGTTATTGAAAGCACTGTCTTTAGAAACTTTTAATAACTTCAAAGCGATTCAGAGACTGGTACCATCTTTGCGCAATCTCTACCAATTTCATTCAAATGCGACAAAAACAAGGCAAACTTTTTGGGTAGAAGTTCATCTCAAACTAATGACCAACCTGGAACTTTCAAATGCGCTCGCTCACGATGCAAAACCTCTCATTTCATTCATAACATAGAGAAAATGTCCGGACCTAAGAGATCCATTAAGATTACTGATCACTTGAAGTGCACCTCCGATGATGTCATCTATTTGCATAACTTGGCATGCACTTATTTCATAAAGTTATACATTAGTGAAACAGGAAGACGACTTGGTGACCGATTCCGAGAACTCCTTCGCGACTTAGATAGAAATGACAAGGACGCATTTAAACCAGTCGCTAAAAAGTCTTCAGTTTTCCTTATCTCCACTTTTCTTTCCTTCTAGATTTCGATCAAATTTTTAATTTTTTGCATATGTTTTGTGTGGCAGCGGTTGTTTCTTAATTTTCCTCTGTAGTTTTTACGAGCAGGAAAATTGGCGCGCGGCCGGCCAAAATTTGGCCCCTCCTCACATGCCCATTATTAACCATTTAACTCCCAAGATCTGATTGTTTATTCTCCCCTCTAGCTTTTACACATTTCCTTGTAAATAAGTTACAAGAATTTGATGTTAGATCGAGATAACAACTTCTACTTGATACATTTGAGTATTCTCATTACCTGTTTGTTGGGGAGTGAATGGATATTGTATGAAGAAGTTACTTGTTAATCACTTCTGGGAGTTAAAGGGTTAAACGTCAGGTTTGGACACAGCCGAAAAATGAGTGCACATGCACGACGGATATGGCGCTTTCGGGGAGCGTTTTCTGACTCCATGGTGAATGAATTTCATCGAGGAACGAACAGAACATTATGGTATAATTTTGGACTGTTCTTGATGTGAATCGAGGGCAAAATTTAATGGAGTTTGTCCGTATGGAAAGGTCTTAAGGGTAAGCGACATTTTTTATTTATAGTTCATTGCAAGCTGTTTTAAATGTATCCAGACAGCCATAGCGATAGCAGTCGTTACGAATCTCTCAGCCATATTACAGGTGCTCAGCTTTAGTCCCTAAGTTCACATCTGTTACTGCAGCATACCAACTAGACATTACAAAGCTCGCACCTGCGCAGACGTTGATCACTGTGTTAAGAAAATCCATGACATTAGCGTTCGTCATGAGGGAAAAAAGACCTCCATATATTCATCCTGTAACCCTTTCCAAATCCATTCGCCTTATCGTGTAAATCTTTTTATGGACAGGTAATCACCAAACCTTTATTGGCGTCAACAATGGCGAAGAAATCCTTTGGCTCAAAGGTTCTGTTTTTTGTCGTCATTGCAGGGATAGTTTTTTTATGGCAATTCGAAAGAAATTATTCTACACTTAAAGTTACTTTAACGCTCCCAAGGTATGGTAACATAAACCGAGAAATGAGGAACTCCAACACAACAGAACCATGCTTAATTCTTTACTGGTCGACTATTTTCGGAAGTCAGCCACACATTGAGAAGAGATGGAATGACAATGATTGCCCAGTGGTTTGTCAGGTCACATCTGACCGTTCTCGAGCCAGAGAGGCAGACGGGTTCGTTGTTCATGCCCGGGATTCACACATGACACCTCCGAAGGAATCTGTTCCATGGATCCTTCACACACAAGAAAACCCGGTGTACACTTCCGTAATGAAAAACGCCAAGTTTATGTCCAGATTTAATCTGTTAATGAGTTACCGGTTAGACTACGATTTCCCCGTCCCAGTTTACCCCATGCCTCAATTAACACCACCACTTACATTTAAGGAAAAAACTAAGCTGATAATGGCAGCATTTTCAAACTGTGAGCCTGTGCGGACGGAATACATGAGACAATTAATGAAGTTTGTGCAGGTCGATTCTTATGGAGCTTGTCTCAGGAATAAGAATGATCTAGTGAGCCGTTATGGATCCAAGAACGGGAAAAATTTCAAAGAGCTGAAGAGTGAATTAGCGAGACAATACAAGTTTACACTAGTATTTTTTAACCAGGACTGTGAATACTTTGTCGATGATCAACTAAGCCATGCGCTGAATGCAGGCTCAGTTCCTGTGGTAATGAGTACAGATAAACTCGACGAGTTCCTGCCGGGCAATCTTCGACAATCCGTCATTAAAGTCCGCGATTTCAGAACTCCAAAAGATCTCTCAGATTATCTTAAGTACTTGAGCACAAATGAGACAGAGTATAACAATTATTTGACGTGGAAGTCGAAAGGAGTAGGAAATATCACGGGAACCGTTATTGGAAATTTTTGGAAACCAAAGTATCCTATTTATTGCCAGATCTGTGTGGCGCTTTCAGAAGGGCGAATACACAAGGAAGGACTGAGGCCAATCCCGTGTAATGCGAGAACGTACGAAGACTGGGGTATCAAAAAAGGGGCCTAATTTTCCTTTTTTCGTCATCATCAGGACTAGCAAAATCTTCGTTATTGTTTAAAAATATTTACATCGTTAACTAGTTTTATTAACCCTTTAACTCCCAAGATCTGATTGTTAATTCTCCCCTCTAGCTGCTACACATTTCCTTGTAAATAAGTTGCGAGAATTTGGTGTTAGATCAAGATAACAACTTTTACCTGATAACTTAAAGTATTCTCATTTCTCTTCTGCTGGATGACCTAGTTTATTATAGGGAGAATTTACATGTTAATCAATTCTGGGAGTTAAAGGTTTGTTTTAAAATTTCTACTTTTTAGGCCATGTTTCCAAATTTTTGACTTAATTGTGAAAACATTGGACAATTTTAGGAAACCTGAGAGTTGTACCATTTAGCTTTCCTGGATTGGTTTTGCTCGTGCAAGTTCTCCCCATGAAAATCATAAATACTCAAACTTATCAGATAGAGGTTGTTACTTTGATCAGACTCCAAATTCTCGTTAGTGATTTACAAGGAAATGTGTTGCAGCTAGAGGGCAGAATTCAAAATAAAATCTTGGGAGTTAACGTGTTAAAGCAATCATTTTGTGTTTGCACTTTCTGTGACAAAAGTACTTACAGAAATAATGCAGCCTTTTGTGAGTGATGCAGGGATGTTCAACTATGTTTGCTATATTTCTGCATTTGTTGTCGTCGTTTTAACTAATAAACAGCCTTTGAAAAATGAATAAACATTTTTACTTGCATCGTTAAGTGTTTACAATTCTGTCCGTCTCCAAAAAGTTTCTTAAAATGGTGGGTGGTTAGGCCTGTTCAATCTGTCTGTTAAGAATTCACCTCCGCATTTGATTGAAAATGACAGGGTGAGATTTAAGATAAAAAAGACTCAAACGCTCATTTTAAAACAAAAAGTAAAAAAGGGAGCCAAAAACAAAACTAAAAACAAAAGCCATGATTATGCCTTAGCCTTAATTAAAAAATTGTAAGGATTTTTTTCCTATGAAGGGGACTATTATGGGCAGAACATACCCTAGCTCGCGCTCGCCGATTGCTTATTAAAACCGTAAAGTCCGAGAGAACTAAAATTCTATATAATACCTACTCAGTGGTGGATTCATGAGTGGGTATTATTACTGCCTATAGATTCTCCTGGTGACAGGATCGCACGTATATCACTATAAACTGGGGGTATTTTATGTCCTTGTTTTGGAATACTTTGAAATTCAGTTATCTAGTGTGATATTAATGTGTGATTTCTGAATCAAATTTTAGACCCTCCCCTCTTTCAAAAATTCCTGGATCATATTTAAGCCTTCCCAACTCGGCTTTAGCACTCAGATTCTCCACACTGTTTTCTCTTTACATTTTCTTTGATACTAACAAGGAGAATTGTTTTAGACAATCAGGAATTTCATTATATGGTGATCATTTCCTTTATTCTCCTGACCTTTACAGTTGATACAAGAGGGATATTGTAAGGAGAAGAAAGAAGCCAGATACTCTTAATTTCTAAGGGTGAAAAGATTAAGGTTATGATTTTCACTAATCTGCACGAACTTATTCCAAGCTGAAAATGCAAAGAATTCCATTCTCTCAGTGACCAAAGCCCATTTCAATTTAAAATTAAAGTTACTCTGGATGTTGTCAACACACGAACCAAGCAATTGCGAAAGCGTAATAACTCTTTTTCAAAGTATGATTGCAACAACAAAAAAAAGGATTATTTTATGATCGTGGTTTTATTTGCCTTTCGCAGGCGCCAAGTATACTCGAATTCAGACGAGGTACAAATTGCATCAACTGGTTGTCATTTTTTTCTATGACAGCTGTCACATTAAACGCATGTTGTTTGTCGTCGTTATTAAAAGTATGCCTTGTTTCCGTCTTTCTTTGCACGCTCATTTTATAATCTATTGAAACAGGCTGTCTTTTGCTCTCCAATTGACGACGATTTGCTCTCTATGCTTTTAAAGGAACGGTTGCTTAATTTCCCATGTGGCGGGTCAAAAGTTGAAACAATTAAAAACAGCTTTTATTGCCACCAACTACCAATTTTCATGTCAGGTTACTCCCTAGTTATGAGTGTTCCATCTTTGCATGGAAGACTCTAGTTAAAGCTTTTCCATGTTACCATCAGCAGCCTTGGCGAATGACAGAAATTCTATAGCGGTGATAAAAAAAAAGAGAGAAGAGCAAAAAAGGATCATGCTGTATAACTCTCGTGAGGATTGTCAAAAAGCATTCGCGCGTCGACTCCGTTCTCACCTGCCTGGCTGGATAAACATCTTATTCAGAACTCGTTGAAAAAAAACCTCTAGAAGATAATAGAGGATCACCTCATTTTTCGAAAATTGTAAATAAAATTAACATCTACTCGCTTAATCCTATGGTTGGTCGATACTAAACTATGCAAATCCCTGACCATAAGTTACTGCAATTGAATCCTTAAAGATGCTTATAGCAGCTGTTGAAGACAACCATCTTCTTCGACAGTGGCCTCCAACTTCTGTAGAATTAAAGTTATTCGACCGTCAGCTATATCATCTGAGAACAAAGAAAAAACCCTAAAGATTCGATATGTCCAAAAAATTGTGTTACGTTCAAAAGAAACATGGAGAAACTTTGTACACGACCATTTTACGATCTCTAGATTTGAGTCCATTTCCAGCTATCTTTGAATTAAGCAAATGCATTTTCAGTCAGGGGCAAAAGCTACAATCTTGGGAATTTAAAAAGGATGTCGGTTAACAAGAGCAGGTTGCAGACGTAAAATGTTCCTCCGGCCAGAGTTTTTATCAATATTAGTTTTGAAATAGCGAGATTTCTTGGTAGTCATTACGAAGGGCTTTTCGACTGAGAGGCTACTCGCAAAGAGATCGTTCGTCACGAGGTTTTCCATTACAAAACGTTGTAACTGTTATTTTAAAACCAAGGAAAACTAGCATCAAAGCTAATTTGCACCAAAACCAGTAGCTTGAGTCGACGACGTCTCGGGGTTCGCTTGTTGAAAGGTAAAATTGTCCATGGTCCTCACAACAATTATTTCAGACTCAACTATATTGGTGCCGCAAGACAGCGCCATTTTTAACGACCTCCTATATTTCTTAAGTCTCCAGGCATAGATGAACGCGTCTAAAGCCACCTTCACAAACATCATCTCGTCACCAATTGTGATTACAGCGAACAAGTCAAGCCACTCTTGTCGAGTTTCGATTTTTGTGTAGAATCTGATATGGAGTGTAATGATATGAGGAAGAGCGCACACTATAAGTATTCCTGCCAGAAATAAAGTCACAATGGTAAACTGCCTCTCGCTTATCCTGTTTGTTTGCGGCTTGTTCCCGCGCCCACGGATGGTTCGTTGTTCGATGCTGTTCCCTCCTGCGAGTCGACGAGACGTTTTAGCAAATTGGCGAAATGACCTCAAGAGCATCGCTGAACCGACGATAAGGAGGATTGTTATAAGCGTGGAGTGGAGGTGAAGGTCGACTTGAAAAAGGGTCAGTTGTGGCGATACAACGAATTGAAGCAGAATAAAACCTGTGAAGTACCCAACACAGGAGACAACACATGCGAGGACCCGACGTGTTGTGACGATTGAACGATAGAGATGCGGGTATGTTATCGCAAGATACTGCGTGGAAATGAGACCCAGGACTAGTAGAAATGACGCGTTTAGCCCAACATACGACAGCCAGATTCCAATTTCTCGCAACGTGTAGTACGGTTCTCCTATGATAAGGGACCATGTTGAATAACGTACAAAGCGATAGAGGACGAAAAAAGGCTCGATCAACAGGCCTGTCGTAAGGTCGACAACAGCCAAAGCGACGATAAAGTAGGTAGCTGGCGTACGAAAGCACCTTAGAGGATCTTTGAAGATAGTGAGCAGAAGCAAAGCGTTACTTACGATTGTTAAGGGTGAAAGGATCGCCAAACAGATACCAGTAGCAAGCTGTGTATAAAAGAAGAAATTCAAGTCCACTGCGAATGACGAGTTGGACATGGCGCTGTTACTTGTGATGTCAGAAGATCAAGTATTTTTTCTGCGTCAGAGTGAACAGCAATGCCTGTACCGTTGGAGGCCCTCAGCTCTCGATTTTTATCACACACTCTGAAAGGAACCCTTTCAAATTGCCTATTGATACCAGCTAATGGATACTACAGCGGTTTTGTTCGAAATGTTTCAAGTCTCGTTTGTGCTGCTGTCAATCATTCGATTGACGGAAATAATGCCAAAGCTAACATCAGGTGCACCTTTGTTTGAAATGTCAGGCATGCTAGAAGATCAAACGTCAGAGCAATTCTCTTAGAATCAGTCAGTTCGTAGGTAAGTAATTTAGTGTTAACAACTTAGTTGAAAACGTCAATTGGCCACCGTAACAAGTAAAAAAGCTGGCGTTTCGAGCGTTCGCCCTTCGTCAGAGCGAAGGACGAACTTTACGAACGACCCGCTTTATTCATTTGTCAGTTCGTAGGAAACTTTACCTTTAATTTCCTCAGTAGAGAGGGACATTTTGACTCAGATCTCTTTACTTTATTTGGTTTTTAACACAAAGTTTACACACAAACTGCTGCATATGACATCAACTTATGATGTGATCACCACCCAAATGTGTCATTTACTGTTCGCAGGTGCTATACCGTTTCAAGGAATATATATTACTTCATTTCGGCAACCCCTTCCCTCACACTTTAGGAAAAAAGCTAAAACGATTATTGATCCATTTTTGTCTTATTGATTATCATTTCGGCTCCTTTGATCGAATGGGAAAATTTCCTCTTACAGAAAACCTATTACAATGTACAGTGATTATTCAAGTTTAAGTCTAAGTCGATCAGATAAGGATTCAAAGTATCTTCCATTTTCAAAAGGACGGTCAGAACGGTAACACGACCGAGAAAGACGTCGATTAAAAAATGAATCTATATTTTTAGTTCGAATTTGGTGAATGGCTGGATATTTTTACCGTCTCTAACGGCGCCACACTCCAAGTTCAGCATAGCGTATGTGATCAGCGTTGAGTTCCAAATCAGTGGAAACTTAGTTAATTTGCTTTCGGGGTTTCCGTTCTCAGACTACAGAAACTTTTGGTGATTTCACGTTGTTTTGAAGAGGACGGCTAAGAAATGTATTGAGTTTTAAAACGCACGTGCTGAGCTTTTGTTCTGCCAATTAGATCCTTGCTTTTTGCCACCTACTCTTGGCTGTTGCTGTCAGAGTTTGCTCAATGTTAGTGATTTAACCCTTTAACTCCCAGATCAAGTTTGTAATTCTCCTTACTGTCAACCATACAATTCTTATAGTTCAGAGAATTTAATGTTGAATCAGCTAATTATCCCCAAATTGATATTTTTCTTCATTCTCATCACTAACCTGGCTGATATTGTATTGATATTGTAAGGAGAAATTTGTTTTGGTCACTCAAGGAAGTTAAAGGTTTTAGGCGGGTGTACGTTCGATGAAGCAACTGATATAGAGCAACTTTCTTAACTACAGATTCTACTTGTGATTTCGTTCGATTTCTTTTCAAAAACTCTTTTCCCAAAATTTGAGTTGCCAAACACGGGGTGCGGGTTATCTACGGGTTCGGTTCATTCGTCGGTGTTTATGAAACTTTAAACTTACGAACTAAACTGACAAAATTTATAACGAAGAATTAACGAAGAAAACTACAGAACGTAAACAAAACTTACATTTGCTACGGTGCTGGGCGAAATAGTTTAACTGCATAAGGGTGACTAAGAAAAACGAAGAACTGCTTAAGAGAGTGAACCCCCCAAAAAAACTCGAAAAATATCTGACTAATGACCAAGGTGCCATTAGCAAAGCCGCCAGGGGAAGGTTGTGCAAATATCCCATAGGTTACGTAATGCAAACTTCTTAAGTGATGAAAAACGGGTGTGGAAAGCGGCTGAATAGGTGATTAATAAACAATTTACGTGGACTAATTAAACTTAGACAGATAACAAAAGGAGATAAATGCAAAGCGTTTTATGATCTTACAACTTCTTCCACATCAAAACATCCCCTAGGATTTCTTGCACACAATATACGAATTTGTGATACCAGAGGGTGTTAATGGCGTACTTTGTATTTACAGCTACCGTTTGATTTCTTCCGTTCCGGTTTAAAAAAAATTTAAACGCTTAACTTTTTTTACGACTGACGGTTTAAATTTATAATTTTTTACGATTGCCAATTTTTTTTTCCGCTTTACGGCTATAGGTTAACCCCATTGAGATCCTCATACAATAATTAATCCTTGTTTTAATCAATTCTAGGTGGATTATAGGTGAGAAATTTAAAATCAAAGTATGTTTTTTTTATCATGTAACAAATTTAAAAAAACATATTTGTACATAAATAATTCAGTTTCATGAAAAGATTTTCTTTTATTCATACTCTGACCCATAGCAACTTTCTTCCCACAGCAAATGCAGTTCCTATGCCAAGAGTTTTCAATTTTTCCTATTTTTTTTTTGAGCGTGCGAGTTCGATGGACAGACAATTTGATTCAGGTTTCTAAAAGGTAATGCTTACGTCTGCCAATCTTACAGCACTAATTACGACTATTGTTAATTGTATAGATGACTTGATATAACAACTTGATTGTCAAAAAAGGTACAAAGGTTGGACGGATCAAATCTAGGTTGCCACTTTGCTGAAGCATGCTGAGTGGGAACCTAGATAGAGGTGAGCTGAAAGGATGTTTTGATTTTATCATTCTTTTCCTAGCCTTTTCCTCATGCTCTAGAGAAACACTTGTGCAAAGGTCGCAAATACTAGTCTCCCAGTTGGCGAGCTGGAGAAAGCTTTTATATTTTGAAGATGATAATTTCCCTAACGAACTTACCTCCAAAGAGGTTCATGATGTTCTTGCTAATTTTTGAGACGCAAGTGTTAAGATCTGGTTGAGTCCACGAGCACGATAACCTACATACTAAACGTGTTTAAATTTTGAAGCAGTGGGAAATCTTATCTTCGATTAAAAAAACTCTATTAGAGCAGTTTTTACGATAAAGAAATCAAGAGGTTATGGGTTTGGACCGATAGTATGAGTTAACGTTTGATCGTTCTCATTCGTCTGAAAAACAAGTCGCTTGCCTGTTTTCTCATTGTAAGGATAATAATAGGTCTTGTGAAATGAACTTTATTAGTTATGTGATTAAACTTGACTTTCACACTTCACGATTAAAACTTGTACATTTTTCAATCGTCCTCTCTGTCTTTTTTTCTCACGTTCAGCAGAATGAATATGCATATCATTCTAAAGATCGTTTCCTTTGTTAGCCGCCTGGTCGCTATCATCTTCTTGATGTCTGGTAAGTGTAGGGTCGAGTTTTACTTGTGTTGCTTAGAACGAGAGCCAACCATGAGCGCAAAATTGCATACGCCAGCAATCTCACGGAATTTAATTACCAACGTTTTCAGCAAGCGTTTTCCACCAAGTTTCCTTGAAGTATACCATCTACCTTCATTCTTTAGTTGTCTTACAAAAGTTCTTAAATATTGCGTTCATGGAAAGTAACATGTTAAGTTGTTTAGCACCAATATTTTATTACTTTCTTCAATATTGATTGCCGGGAGTAACTGCAGAATACCCTGCCACTTTGGTCCACCTCATTTACATGTGACGTGAGGCTTTCATGAACGAGGCTTAACACAATAGACGCTATAATTCTTATTCAATGACATGTAAATGAGTGACAGGTTCTTCTGCAGTTTAGCCGATTGCCGTCTTCCTATGACCTTGTACTCTTTATCTATCTGTTGTTAAATGTGAGGCTCCTCTTTCCGTCTCCTATTTGTATCGTTTTTATTACTATCTGAAAAACTGTAATTTAACTTCAAGGGCATCTAATTAGCTCGCTATGTTAAACGCTCTGTCCTATTTCTTTCTCTTCTCTGTAATTATTCAAAAGGTTTGTAATTATTGAAATGAAGGAAATAAAAATACAAACACCAATACATCTATAATTTTGAAATGTTTTGCATATACACACCAAGTAACAATCGAAATGACACTTGTAATTTTAATGATGTTCGCAGGTACAGCCTTAACCGAAAACAAAAAGGTAAGGCATGTGTTAGATAGCTTTAGGATCATCTCGTTATAAATAAAAGTAAAAAGAAACTTTGGCCAATCTCTTTCAATATAAAATTATTAAAAACATTTTCCTTTTCCTATATATTCAGCCAATATGGTTTGGTTGCATCTAAGTTCAACTTAAATAATTTCATTAAAAATTTAAATGAAATCTTCCAAAATGTATCTTAATTTAGGAATGTGAATACTTCATTAAGGTATCACTTCAGCATCACATAATCAAGGGAGCAAATGATAAAACAATGAGAATGATATAAAAGAGAAAAAAAGTAGTTCAAAGTTGGAGTAATATTACTTTTTTCGTCACGAAATTTAATTTTTACACAAACCATTTAAGTCGTTCCCAACGTTTCCTTTAAGCTGAAAATAAAGAACACGAGCAAGAATTTTCCAAATCCTTTTCACTTAGGCCTCTTCGAAAAAAAACCAGACCACTCTTGAATGTGAAATTTTTGGTGATAGTTCAAGCCAAAGCACGCCTTCTTTTCAAATAACTTTTGTTCTAAGCATGATTTGCACGTGCCACGCTTCAATCTCTTGATAATTTGCGTGCTCTTTTAATTTTTACGCGAAGACGGCAGCGCAAAAGAATATAGGTCAATTCTTGTAGTATCTGGCTTCAGAAGCCAACTTTTTATTTGCCTCAGCCGATATTGCTTCTTATAACTTTCCCCTCCATTCCCTAGCCCCTTCATCATCACATGACAGATATGGAGATACAGCGGCTGTTTGGCGTCCAGAATTTTGCGGATGGTAAGGGTCTTCTTTCATCCTGAAACCGTCAAAACAGTGATTCATTTATATGCGAAGATTTCGAAGTAAATTAAGGAAGTTTTGTAATGTAAGCTCAACTCTCGCTAGTTCTTACGATTCTGTTTTTATGACAGATTATTTTATATTTTATTTAGAGAACGTCCTCAATAGGGATAACCTCAGACGTCTACTTATGTGTTTTTGTTCACGATAAACATTATGATTTGATTGGATTTAAATATAACCTCGTGATAAAGAGCAGATTTTAACTTTCAAAAAAAAAATTAATTCAAGCAATATTTTCTTGCGGTCTTTGCACAATAAATTTTACAAAGTGTAACGTAAAAGAGCGCAAACAATTTCCGAAACGTTCAGCTTTATCTTTCAGTACCTGAATATGAAGTAACCGCGCCTTATCAGTCAAATCAAAATGGCGACTTCGTGACACATACACTTCACGAGAGACACAAGCGCGACGCTCACGCGGGGGAAGATTGGCACTACAAAATGGACGCTTTTGGGAGCAAAATGCATTTGAAACTAGCAAGAAACACGCAATTGGTGAAACCTGGCCTGGAGCTTGAGACGCGACATGATAACGGTGACGTTACAAGGACGCCTGTCCAGTCCGACTCATTTTTTCATGGAAGAGAAATTTCTGATCCAAACTCTTTTGTGGCTTTGAGCAATGCAAGAGGACTGGTTAGTGATTACTGAGTAATACTATTGTAAGAACGGTAAAAGCTTTTCTTTACTGTTTGATTTTTGTCCCGCTTCGCAGTTAACATTAAACGACTGTGAATATATGAAAGTCATATATTTGAACTGCGGATATTAAAAGACGTAAATATGAAAGTGAATGAACACTACTTAAGCAGCAGTGAAAATGAGGCCTGAAAAAAAAAATTTATGCCTGTACGGGACTGTGAATATATGATCGCTTTCATATTCACAATTAACATTATTCACCAAGGATAGGAAATTTCCACCACCCCCTCGGACAATTCCTGTAGAAAGTAAATTGGGCCATGTTCATTCAGTTCAAGAGATTTACAGCGCTGAAACTGTGATTGGGGTCACTTAAACAAATCTAATTTATTGCATCATGAGAATCGGGGAACAATTCCTGTTAAGAGACCAATCAATATTGATCGCCTGGGGGTTGAAGGAGTTTGCTTGTGTCCCGATAAAATTCACGTGATCCTCCCATAATGCCATGACCCTCCTCCTCCCCTCCCTCCCCCCTTCACTCCTTGGTAGTTAATTGGCAGTCAATTTTCTAAAAACTATGTGATCCCTCCGGACTCCCCCCCCCCTCCTCTCTCCAGCTCCCCAAGCGATAAACAATGACACGTCCCTAAATTCACGGTGATGCTCATGTGTAATGCGACCGTGAAGTATCCCTTGTGGAAACCCTCATTTTATCTTGCAGACAGGAATGATATCTTTATCGAATGATACGTTCTTCATCCATCCACTTCCTAACCATCTGGCAAAACACGTGACTATCAGAAACGCCGCCAAGCCACACCTTGTTTACAGAAAATCAGCAACATCCCCACACTGCCTTGATTCATCAGGTATGCGCAGGCCTTTTAGCCCCAACATGTTGGAAAGTGAGGTTCGTTTCCTTTGATGTTTATTGGTTGAAAAATTCAGTCTTCGAATTTAGAAATTTTTTGACAGACAGAAAACTACTCGGTTATACGGAGCGCGCTCAATCGTCTTTAATAGAGTTTTAAGATGGGTGTGTTAAAAATTGACTACCAATGAGAATGTATCGTGAAAACATTGCACAGCTTAATGGGGAGATCATGTAATCTCATCGTGATTTGACCAGAAACTTCCGACTTCCGCCCCGCCCGCAACCCCCCTCCTCGTCTTCCGGACGAAAAATAATGACTTTTCTCTTCTATGTTCTCTGAACATTTCAGGTGTTGCTTCGAGCTCCACAGAATCGGGCAAGAATTACGACATATTCAGTAGAACTTCACCTACGGAACTCGTCGCCCACAAGTACTTGCAGGCTGCACTGATAGTGGATGAGAATGTGGAAGCTAGACATGGAAACGAGACTGCGCACTTTTTGTTAGTTTTGGCTAACATAGTGAGTGTAGCTCAACCGCTTCACCGAGAAACCGAGCCTTTCTTTGACATAAAATATCTCACGCGTTTTTCTACTCAAAACGTTACAAAAGCATTTCCTCAAAATTCCATGCAGGCTTGCATATGAGAATATACATGGTCATTCAACTCGTAAACCTAGTCGCAAACTCGTGTCAATGGTAACGACTTGGCCTGGTTGCCCTCGATATGCTCTCTTAAAAGAAGTAATCACCTGTTTCTGGTTTCGTTTAGGTAAACCGTGTTTTAATGATGTACTTAAATTCAATCAAGGACTTCCTCAAGTTGTCAAGATATTTGTTACTATGGCACCAAAGATGTACCTATTTTTTTTATCCTTTTTTTCACGTATTGCTTAACCTTTTATTTTAATGTTTTACAGGTTTCTGGATCGTTCCGCGACAATTCTATCGGGAAAATTAAAATTAATTTTCTTATCAGCCGTCTTGTCATTATTACTAACAAAGAGGTAAGTTCATTCTCTTAGTGCAATACGGCGCCATCAGTTAATAAGAGGTACTCTTGGGTAGCTTGATTATCCCTTTCACCCTTGAAGAGTGACTAGCATCTAATTTCTCCTTTCAATACCACAATGAATCACTTATTAAGGTCATGAGAATAAAGGAAATGATCACCAACTAAAGAAGCTTTTGAGTGTTATACAAATTCTCCTTGTCAGCACCCTAGGAAATGTATAGAGAACAATATGGAGAATGTGCATACCGATATTAGGGTGTAAAGGGTTAAAAGCACCCCTCGAGAGTTTTGACCAAATCCAACTTAAAACTTAACCTGCATAAAAATGTTGAGATACAGAATAAAAAAACAGCGCCAACAACTCTATGATTCTTAACAATTACAAAAAACAAACACCATATTTGGTCAAATAATAAAGAAAGGAAGGCTTCTCATCAAGATGATAAATAAGACTTAATTAATAGCTACATTTGGTGTGGCACAATTGATCAAGAGGCAGAAATATCTTTTAGCTGGGAGTCAGCCAGGGTTCTTCATCGGGAGAAAAGTTGGACAAAATCAGTCAATGGGCAAACAGAATCAAACCAGCCGATCGGAGCGATCCTCTGTTTTTCGACGTGACATCACTTGTCCATGTGTAAGTGAAACATTTATTGATCATATTTCCCCGTACTTTTTGCGACCGAAATTTTGAAGCAGTTCGAGCTTTCTTATCAATTCTTCTTCGAAAACAGACTTATTTTTTATAACTGGTGGTTTTCGATAAAATCCAATCCCGTTGTCCCGATCACTTCTACTGCCACAGCCGAAAACTACGCAATGGACCATCTCTACTTTCTCACTTTCATCTTACTATAAGCGTTAGTTATAAGTAACTATATGTTTGGGCACCAACATGGCGGATAGCAACCGTCGTCAAGACAAAAGTCACGTGGGTGAAAACCAAGAATTGAATGCGCTCATTGCTTTTGTTTCTTCTTTGTCAGGGGAGGGGGGGGGACTTTTCTCTCAGTTAAGTAAACTTGAGTAAATAAATTATGATGAAATAAGGCTGACCATTAACTCATCTAGTCTAGGACAAACACTTAGGCCGGTTATTTACACGACGTCCAACCCAAACCACGGTTTCACGCAATCAGTGGGCCCCGGGCTTTCTCTTTGCTTTCTCTAGAGCGTTAATTTAATGAAACAAATGTCCTTCCACTGCTAGCTTACGGCCATCTTAATACTGTTCACAAAAATAAATATCAGATAAAAGGTTCAGCTAAATTGAGGATTGTTTAGGACGCGGTTTTGCTAGACAAAGGCTTAACTTTCTTTAAAAAAAACCGCCCTTTGTGTACCATAACAAAGAAAACTTGAGACATACAAGGCTTAGGAACTAGGTTGCCAGAGTCTGTCTCTCATTATTAATGTTTTTCTAGAAATAGTATGCTTTTAAATATATCGGAGAAACTTTTTTATACCAGAGAACTGAACTCTTTACACAATGATTGGTAACAAGTTTCACAGTTTTAGATATGATTCCAGGTTTTAATATGATTTTGTGTTGGTCTCTCTTTTCCTATTCATTTTACCTATTTGTTATTCCTTGGAAAGTGGAGGATTTGGAGGTAGGTATATTTTTTTTATACCTGTTCATTTGTCATTCTTTCTTTGACATAATTGATATTGAATGAATATGAAATTCCAAATTATTTATTTCGCCGTCGAAGTGATGCCGATAGCTCGTAAATGTTATGGTGGGTTTCTGCAAATCATGACATATTCGGTCTGAAATATGTACGTGTGCTGATTATTTACTTATGGGACTGGCCACATTCGGGGGTGTGTGAAAATCATTTCCCTCATATTCGATTTGGATGCTACTGCTAAGTCTGATAACACGATGTAATTATTTGGGTAGCAAGGAGAACGCATGTATCGTGTTCTGAAAAAACAACTGCTAGTTGTTTCCTTGAAGATTTAAAAACTGTGGTGCTGCAGGCGTTAGCCCTTCTTCGTTGTTCTGATAAAGGGCTAACGCTCGAAACGTCAGATTCAAAAACTCTTTACGGTGGCCAATTTAAATTATCAACTCAGTTGATAAAACCAAATCAGTCTTATTTCCTAATAGGTTTAGCCGTATTTGGAGGCGTGTGCTCGAGCAGAGTCACTGGTAACGTCAATAGTTATGCTGGTCTGCAAACAGCCGGGATTATTGCACACGAAGTTGGACATAAGTGAGCGAATTATATTTTGATTAACCAGACAAATGTGTTAACGATTCAGAAACAAAAAAAAAAATCCATTACCTATTATTCTGAGTTCTAAACTTAAACCTAGATTAAGCAAAGTGAGAGAGCACTGTAGCAGATACCTTGTTTGAAATGGTTGATATCAGGTCCTTTCTGGTGGTGTGGCCGCTTAACAAATCGCGGTGGTTTAGCTCTTATCGACAACTATATTCGTCGTCACAGCGGTTAAATTATTGTGGATCATTAGGAGCAGCCGAGTGAATCCGCAACAAATTTTGACTCCTTTGATGGCGAATATCGTTATCGATAAGAGTAAGAATCACGCTCATTAACTGTCTATTTGTTTTTTACCACAACATCGATGTCAAGTAATCCGAGTGAATCACCGATGCTTGACAGCTAATATAGGCATTGCGTGACACGTTGACGCGAGTAGCATTGTCCGTACTCTTACCGATAACCGCAAATTGGCCAATCAGATTGCGACATCACTGCCAATTGTGGAAAGATATTCCATCGACAAACCTGTAACGGAATTTCACTCATGCAAACGGCGCTTGTGGTTTTGCTGATCCAAGTGATCATTACAGAATGTGTGTCGCGAAATTCAATGTCTGTGGTTTAACACCACCAAGCGCACTTACGGTTTGTTTTCTTTGTCCCACGCCAGGACCCCATTATCCGGAGCTTCCATCCTCCATACTTACCCTCTGAACAACCCTGTCCCGTATCTTTTTATTTTTAGAAGCCTCCCACGGGGTTTCTCGCGGGTGTTTAC